ACACCTTGGATGAACTGAGGAGGCTTCCAGCTACAGAGGTAGGCTAGGTCAAAAGCCTGCCTCAGCGTTCTAATACAGTGTCCAAACTTTAACAAAATTAAGAATAAAACAAGAAACATCCACCAGTTCTCACCCATCATCACTCCCCTATGCCTGCACACATTCCCTAACACGTCAAGCAATAGCAATGACAACTATGGCTCTACACCCATTCCACAATGTTCCTCGTACCCTGTATGCCAACTGATGCCCCAAAGAACCCTATGGTTCTCATGTACTCATGAAGGTTTTGTACCTTCACCCATGCCTATGGTCCATTCCATCCATGCTTTCATTAATGTGGAACTAAGAGACTAATGATGACCATGAAGCCTTTGTTGGAAAAATCTATCTGGTTCATTAATATCCTTTTAGGAAGGAAGCTGTCATCCTCACCTGGTTTGGCCTACAAATGAGTCCAGAGCCAAAGCAATGCAATTGAGTATTAACTGCTCAGAGGTATGGGTCATTAATGCTGACCTAGCCAGCAATGCCCCCATCCTGTGAATCAGTGAAAACAAATTACAACCTATGCCACTCTGTCTCCACATGGCTCGTTATGGCCACTATACCAACACATTACCAACCCTGCCACCACCCAGCAGGCTTTGCAATTACAACTATCATGCAAATGCATCCAAAACATCACAATGGGCAAAATCCAGAACCCACATAGAGCTGAGATAAAGGTAAATTTCTCGAAATTAAAGTTGGAATGCCTAATTTTTGTTCCAGGTCTATGCATTGTGTAGTAAAAGCATCTCTACTTAAACAATCCCAAATGATATCTGACACTTTTATGCATTTCAGACATCACTAGAAATAGTATACACGGCCCCCTATGGCCCCACCCTGAGGTGTTTCATGATCATTTCCATAGTCGTATCTTACCTTTCCCAAGGGGTACGACAAATACTTAAACAAACTCAGAAAGTTCAGACATGCTCTTAGTAAGCTTAATGTGTAGATTCTGGCTTCTATGCTACAGTATTGCCAAAACCCCAATTCAGTGGAGGCACCACATGAGTTAAATGCCCTTATGCCTCTGTAAAACTTAAATGTATAAAGGCCAGCCTTCCTCCGTCCCTCCCACACCAAAATGGCAAGTGTCATTTTGGAGACGGGACTTGAGATTTCAATCCATTTTTGGCAGTTTTTCATTAATAGAGAGTCAATGGCAAATAATTGGCTCAAGTGTCTATTGTCTTCACGATATTGATAAAGTGCTCAATAATAAAATATCACTTTTATATTAATTCAACTAAATAAAAGTGTAGGTTACACTTACCGAAGTGACATGTAAAATATCCCTCCACAGCATGGTCTCTCGAGGAAACTCAGACAAGTCGAGGAAATTGTCAACAGCCACTTGGCCAATCACGTCGTGGCGGGAAAACCTGTCAAAGTCGTAGACACTGAAGTGAAGTTTCCGATTGGCCAGCTCGTTGTAGGGCACAGAAAACAGGAAGGCTTCATCGAAGACAGGGTTGAGAGTTTTGCGGTGGACTTTAGTCTGGTGTTTGGTTTTACGGTCTGGCAGCAAGTATATCTTCACGTAAGGGTCGGATGTTCCCGAAAAGTCCTTGGCAGGCAGGTTGACAGCCTTGTGAATTTTGACAATCAGCTGTTCCAAGTCGCAGTCGTACTTCAGCACAAAGTTAAGTTTGCCACATGTGCGATTGTTCCTCCGCCCATCATCAGTGTCCACTGACCTCTGTTTGTATAACTCGGGCTTAATCCGTCCAATGTCCACTGGCTTTTCCTGTCTTTGGTACTGTTGGATGTCAAAGTCTGGATTGGAAAGATTTAACTGTCTTCTTATGGAATTGTGCCTGCAACCAAAGATTATTATTATTCAGTGAAAAATTATACATCATCTAGTCACAGAGTCATAATGGCACTGAAGGAGGCCATTCAGCCCATCAATTTCCTGGATGTCTCATTGCAGTTTGAATGGCATATTTATGCTTTCATGATCATCATATCATTATTTATTTCATATTGCTTTTATTCCAATCAAAAATGTTCACTTAGGTAATCAACTCTCTTGGATTGAATTTTAGAGGAGAGGTGAACATTCTGCCAATTGAGCCTGTGCCAGCTCTTTCAAAGTGCTATCCATCATTGTTCCCAACCCCACAAACCCAGAAAACACATAGTACTTGCTTCATAGCCCTGCCAATTTTACTTTTCAGGTATTTATCCTTTTTAGTACAAAGTCAAAATCTGAAACACTAATTTTATCAGCTGCAACAGAGGAAAGAGTAATGCCCTGCTAATTGAAGTGGTTTTATCATCTTTTAAAGAACAGTATTTATCAACCATGCCTCATTGCGATGAAAAGTGGTGGTATGCCTTCCTTTTAAGCGACCGAGGGATTTTGATATAACCAGTGGCTAGCTTTGCCATTCTGGAGGTTAATCAAAGATCAAACACATTGATTTGGAAATAGACTGTCACCAGAGGACTCCCTGTTTTTATTCAAAGGGTGTCTTGTGATCTTTAAAGTTCTCCAAAGCAGAAAAATTGGCTCTCAGAGAACTACAGTCTACCTCAGGACAGCAGAGGTCTCTGATCATTATAGATGTAACTTCCATCATTCAATTAGTGTTCCTTGATTGCTTTTATATGAATCTGCCAACCACCATATACCCATGTCACAACCGTTTTTTTTCCCTATTCATTTGTAGAATGTGATCTTTGCTGGCAATGTCCTACATTTATTATCCATTCCTAATTACCCTTGAGAAGAATCTGCAACATAGATGCCATTGAATAGCAATAACTCACATTTATGCAATACCATAATGCTGTAAAACATCCCAAAGTGCTTCACAGGATCGTCAAACAAATTTTGATCCCAAGTGATAGAACGAGATGTTAGCAAAGATGAGATGTTGAGCTTAAGGAGGATTTCAAACGAGGGGAGAGAGGTCATGGTGCAGTGAATAAGAAATTGACAACACACAAGAGACCAGAATGAGAGAAGTGTAGCTATCTCAGATGTCTGTGGGTCTGGTTAGAGAATATAGAGGAAGGCAGGGAGGAGCAAGGCCATTGAGCTATTTTAAAACAATAAGAATTTAAAATTAAGGCACTGCTTAACAGGGAGACACTATGCATCAATGAATACAGGTGGGATGTGTAAATAGGACGTGATGCGAAATAGGACACAGGTAGAATTTGTGATGACCTCAAGTTTATAGAGTGTAGCCAGTACCAGCACAACCCTTTTTAGTCCTCTCTCTACAAATGGGACATAAAATGTCCAATCTTTCACCGGAGATTTATTTAAATTCAGTCAATGAAAATTTTGAGGACCAGGTTTTGCTTTGTCTGAACTTACAACTGTTAGATTTGGTTTTAAATACTTATATATGTTAGTATTTAAACTTAAGGCTCTAAAAGAAAATATTCTTCTAGTAGTCCTTTAAACCATTTACATTTACCTTCACAGTGGAACCAAAGTTACCAGATTTGATTGGACATATTCAATGAAGGCTTTATTGCTTCACTTTCTGCTTCGAACTGTCCTGCCTCAACATTATTGCCTTGGGTAAGCCAATGTCCATCCTCAGTCAATGAAGAAAAATGTGAACAAATTCTTTCTTGATCCAATCAATGTTTCTAGACCGAATCAAATGGTGAAAAATTATGGGCACAGGGTGGGGGAGGGGGGTGGCATAGTGTGGATGTCTCAAATCCTACAAGAAAAGTTGGTGGCCTGCCAGCTAGACATTCAAAAGCACCAAGGGTAAGCTAAATAAGGCATTAGTAGGATTTCTGACCCTCGGTGGGAGGAAATGCCACTTTCTGGAGCTGCCAGGCAACTTGTGTTTCCAGCTGTTCCAACAGTGCCTGCAGCACCAGCGATCCAAAAGGGAATGCTGATGAGGCTGAAGGTAGGCCAATAAAGGAAGGGTCCATGGATCCTAGTTCCATGAAACCAAAGTCTAGTGGAATTTATCTGGGGTTTATCGTTAATTCATGGAGGGGATGGATCCTAAAGAATATGCAAGTGGGAAGAAAGATGGGGTACTATCCTCCCAGGATGCACCCCATAATGGTCAAGAGACACTCTCAAGAGATAATACACCCCTCTCCTCCTGCCATTTTCTGCACTTTCAAACAAAATTGCAAACCTCATTCTTGCCTAATACCATGCCAACTATATTATTATCTGGGCAGTGCAATAATGGGGTTAATTGGGTTTTTAAACAAGGTAAATTGCCCCTGAATTATTCATGTACATATGGCTTATGGGGCTGGAAACAGGGTGGGTGGGCAGGTGTGGGCTCTGCGCCCCCAGTCCATATTTCATGACCCATCTCACAAAACAGCAGAGAGAGTCCTTTTTTCTCCCTACTGAACCCCATATTCACCCATATATCTTCAAAATATATCTTCAAAGCAACTATTTAAAAATCTTTTGTTGATTGCCCGCTATAATCTTGCTGCTTGAATGTAACTTGCATGAGTGTTCTGGAGATTAATTAATTCTCGGAGAATTCAAAGGTTACCTCAGCCAGCTGACAACAATGATTTCTGAATCAAAACAAAAACAGAAGTTGCTGGAAAAGCTCAGCAGGGCTGGCAGCATCTGTGGGGAAAAAAATAAGAGTTAACGTTTCAGGTCCGATGACCCTTCTTCAGAACCGATGATTTCTGAATGACGGATTATTGGGAATTTTGACAAATCACTCGCTTCCACGATCTTAGAATCCAAACAGAGTAAGCATCACTATTATGCACAGAGACAACAAGGTGCAGGGCTGGATGAACACAGCAGGCCAAGCAGCATCATAGGAGCAGAGAGGCTGACGTTTCGGGCCTAGACCGATCATCAGAAAAGGGGGAGGGGAAGGGGGTTTTGAAATAAATAGGGAGAGAGTGGGAGGCGGATAGAAGAGGGATAGAGGAGAGGATAGGTGGAGAAGAAACAAACAGGTCGAAGAGGCGGGGATGGGGCCAGGAAAGGTGAGTGTAGGTAGGGAGTTAGGAAGGGGATAGGTCAGTCCAGGGAGGACGGACAGGTCAAGGGGGCGGGATGAGGTTGGTCGGTAGGAGATGGAGGTGCGGCTTGAGGTGGGAGGAGGGGATAGGTGGGAGGAAGAACAGGTTAGGGAGGCAGGGACGAGCTGGACTGGTTTTGGGATGCGGTAGGGGGAGGGGAGATTTTGAAACTTGTGAAATCCACATTGATACCATTGGGCTGCAGGGTTCCCAAGCGGAATATGAGTTGCTGTTCCTGCAACCTTCGGGTGGCATCGTTGTGGCACTGCAGGAGGCCCAGGATGGACATGTCGTCTGAGGAATGGGAGGGGGAGTTGAAATGGTTCGCGACTGGGAGGTGCAGTTGTTTGTTGCGAACCGAGCGTAAGTGTTCTGCAAAGCGGTCCCCGAGTCTCCGCTTGGTTTCCCCGATGTAGAGGAAGCCACACCGGGTACAGCGGATGCAGTATACCACATTGGCAGATGTGCAGGTGAACATCTGCTTGATGTGGAAAGTCTTCTTGGGGCCTGGGATGGGGGTGAGGGAGGAGGTATGGGGGCAGGTGTAGCACTTCCTGCGGTTGCAGGGAAAAGTGCCGGGTGTGGTGGAGCTGGAGGGGAGTGTGGAGCGGACGAGGGAGTCACGGAGAGAGTTGTCCCTCCGGAAAGCAGATAAAGGTGGGGAGGGAAAGATGTCTTTGGTGGTGGGGTCGGATTGCAGATGGCGGAAGTGTCGGAGGATGATGCGTTGGATCCGGAGGTTGGTGGGGTGGTACGTGAGGACGAGGGGGATTCTTTTTTGGTTTTTATTGCGTGGACGGGGTGTGAGGGATGAGGTGCGGGAGATGTGGGAGACACGGTTGAGGGCGTTCTCGACCACCGAGGAGGGGAAGTTACGGTCCTTGAAAAACGAGGACAACTGAGATGTACGGGAGTGGAATGCCTCATCCTGGGAGCAGATGCGGCGGAGGCGAAGGAATTGGGAATAGGGGATAGCATTTTTGCAGGAAGGTGGGTGGGAGGAGGAGTATTCTAGGTAGCTGTGGGAGTCGGTGGGCTTGAAATGAATATCGGTTTCTAGGTGGTTGCCCGATATGGAGACAGAGAGGTCCAGGAAGGGGAGAGAGGTGTTAGAGATGGTCCAGGTAAACTTAAGGTTGGGGTGGAAGGTGTTAGTGAAGTGTATGAACTGTTCGAGCTCCTCGTGGGAGCACGAGGCGGCGCCGATACAGTCATCAATGTAACGGAGGAAGAGGTGGGGTTTAGGGCCGGTGTAGGTACGGAAGAGGGATTGTTCCACGTAACCTACAAAGAGGCAGGCATAGCTTGGGCCCATGCGGGTACCCATGGCTACCCCCTTTGTCTGTAGGAAGTGGGAGGAATTGAAAGAGAAGTTGTTGAGTGTGAGGACGAGTTCGGCTAAGCGGATGAGGGTGTCAGTGGAGGGGGACTGGTCGGGCC